TTATAAAAATTTATTCTCATTCAAAAGTGATATATCGTATGAAGTCTCACTATGAGACTAAGAATATGTTAATTGAAGAAAGTTCAAAAACCTTGGTGTAGTTGGTGTTTCCATTAACATCAAGATCAGAGTCATATTAGAAGGATTATTACATGTTTGGTTTTCCATGATTTGTCTTGGGTACATAAAAATGTGTTAAAAGAATTTAGCTGACCATTAAAATGGTCCTGAACTCCCATGGCTAGTACAGCATGGCCTCCCAGACCACTCGCATATTTTGACAAGAAAAATAATTTGTTCACTATTCTATATATTTATTTACAATTATACAATATTTCTATAAAGTTATGAACTAAACAGGACTCTTATTAAGATTAAGCAACTTATTTTTTTCACAAATTAATTGGTATAAATAATAATAACAGTAATTTAAGCTGGAAAATCAATTATTTCTGCAGCTGCCAACTTGAGATCATTTTTATTAACACCAGCACTTTGTTTCGATTCTGAAATATGTTCACTGTCCAAAACAAAGTTCAAGTGCTCATCACTATCGTCCTCCAAGTCATGAGAAACTTCTTTGACAAGCTGGAAGAAATCACTGTCATCCACTTGCCATCAAACCATAATCAGACAAAGTTACTTTTCATTAACCTTACGATTAACGAAATAACAATACTGGTTCAAGTCAGTAAACTCTGTACTACTGAACTGGTACAATAGAGTGAGCACAACAAAATTTATACTTTGAAAATGATACAGAAAAAAAATGTGGCATATTTAGAACTTCATACCTACACCAGTTGATAGAAAAACTCTCAAAGTTTTGTACACATCTCACAGACTCAGTACATGCTCCACGAGTCACAGATTTGGCAGATGTTGAGACACTAATCAAACTCGTCCAAAACTTTGTGCAGTGCCCCTGGTGATTTAAGATATGGAAGTTGTGACTCAGTACCTGAACTTTGGCAAAGACTATGACAGAGGCTGCACAAACAGTGTCTTTTGTTTAGCCCCATAAGAAGTAGCACATAGTTAGGTAAGGCGATCTCAGAGGCCATATGCACTGTACGTCCTTGGCTTCTGCATGACCGATCCACCTCCAGGGAAGGTGCGCATTCCAGTGGTTCCAAACACCCACATGGCAGTGAGGCGGCACCCCATATTGTTGGAAGATGAAACTGTTTGAATCCTTTTCCAATTGGAGAAAAAGCCATAAGGTAGACATATCTAGACAAGACACCCATGACAGTGTTTTCCACGAAAAAGAAGGAGCCATAAACCTTCTCCTTTGAAATGGTACAGAACGCATTCACTTTTGGTGAATATCTTTCGTGCTCGAGAGTGACATGAGTATTTTCTGTTCCCAAAACAAGGGCATTATGCCAGCTGACTTCAACGTTGATATGGAAAAATGAACCTTGCAGGTTAAGTCATCATTTTCAATCCTACCTAGGGTCTCGCGGCATAATTTGTATCATGCGGCCAAATATTCTGGTTTCAGAACCTGCAGCAACTGAAGTTTTTACAGTTTCATAAGAAAATGCTTACACAGGATTTCAGAGACAGCTGTTTGTTTGTAGTAGGTGCAACACACGATTCATTCAGCGCGCTGGTTTTTAGTGAGCTGCGATGGAAGCAAGTCTGAATATGGTGCACAGTTGCATAACATACAGAGGTCCTTTGCACATGCGCCCTTTCTGCTCGTATCTCTTGTACCAGTCACAAATGGATACTCAGCTGGTTAATTCCATGTGAAATTGTGAGCAAAATTCATGCTGCACAGAAGCTACAAACTCTTTCTTCACTAACTACCAATTCCTCTGTTGTGGGGTAGCAAAATTGGATTTTAATGTGAACTTTATTTTGATGTTTAAGTAAACTTTATTTTGATTTTATATTTTGATATTTAAAAAATATATAATAAAAAAGAAAAGGCATGAAAAATGCTTCAGTTTTTTTAAACATAAGCTGACAAATACACAACAGCTCTTTACATTTAACATTTCTTGACAATAAATTAGCAGTAATTTAAATGTGCTCCCCACTATCAATTTTTTCTGGCCTGTAAACGTTTTTTAGGTAGGGGTTCCTCAAGATATGAAAAATTATTTTGGGGGTTCCACCATGGAAAGAAGGTTGTGAAACACTGAAGTACATAGAGACTAGCTTTACCCACATATCACACACAAGCAAACTGATACTTATCCAGTTTCATTATACAAGAAAAGAGAGACTGTGTGCCCATTTATGAAGCTGAAGATAACAGTAATTGCCCTGATGATGGAGGCAGTAAGGACATTTGAAACGTCGGTAAACTTCCATTAGACTACATGGCACAACAACCCAGAAGACAGCCATCTACCGACTCACTGCCGTGAAAACCTTAAATCCTATGCAATTTTTCTTTCTTATATACACCTAATTACCAACAGAATGAAGATTAAATGTAAATTTTGTTTAGAGAGTGTCTTCATGAGATAAGGTGTCACTGTTTTAATACAATAGCATAACTAAACTGTATCCATCACTGTTAGTGCCATCAGAGGTAGATAATTACAAATTTCTAAATTAGCAAGCACAAAACCTGCATAATTCAGGTAACGCATCTGACATCATTCCAGTTTTATTCTAGTGTGTACAATGACTTATTTCTTAGAAAATTGTGTTCCAAAAAGAAAATTCTGCAGGGGAAGATAAACTGGCAAGTTCAACTGCACTGCATCTCCTTGCCAGTCAGAAAGGTATGACATTCAATGAATAGAAGCAGGAAGTATCACTTTAAATAAATATTACAACTGACACCATAATTTAAAGTGGTTTACATTTCTTGATAATTTTATATTTTCTCAAACAAATATTAAGTTTATTCCTATAAACTGATTTAAGTATTTAACTTGAACATATAGGAATAGGTCAATTGAATAAAAATATACTTGGATATTATCCATCGTCTAGTCTATTTACTAGACGATGGATAATATCCAAGTAAATTTTTATTCAAATGACTCTTCACCATCGTCAAGAAGTTTTAGATTTGATATATAGGAATAGGCTTTTTAAACCCCCATACTACTATACTACAGGGCTGCCAGCTGGACTTTAACTCCTGGGTTAACTATTTCGTGGTACACCAGTGTGAACCACGGCAAGCTGAATCATATATAAGCCACGATTCACAGACAGTAAAGATTAACATTATTAAAAAGCTCAAGTCTCATTATAGCAAGATGAATAATCAAATACCAAACAAAATCACATCCAGCATATGTACATCTGTTCAAGAATAAGGAACTGAATGAGAATTCACTAATACAGTGTTTTGGTAGGAGGAACGCTGCAAGCATCTTTAACCTTACATAATTATAAGACTAAGTTAAAACATTTTCACCAAATTCTTCCTGCTAAAATACTTGACTTTCATATATTTATTTTGATATTTAAACACGCTACTTTTATGATGGCAACAGAGCTAGAGGCAGCCATAGCTGCAACTACACAAAAATTCTTTAAAATATGAACTGGAGTTTAGACTTAACAATAATGAGTCTAATCCATGATATCACAAAGTTCCCTTGTTTTATTTTGAGCGTATTCCAAGGTGAAAGATCAAACGGAGAGCCTGAATATAATAAATATTAAATCACAGACAGCTGATGAGGAATGGTCCTCCAGTTTGGTGTCTGGATATGGTTCTAACAACTCCTCACCACAAAAAATCTAATTTGAATCAGACATGCCATTGTGAATGCATGTTACCCAAGCTTTTTTCAATAATTCGCACTAAAAATGTACACTTTCCCTTCATACATGCTACATGTCACATCTATTGTAACTTTCCTATCAAATTTATCAGACTGTGATTCTAGAAAACAATACTGTATACTACGAAGTGTGATCAGAAAGTTTCCAGCCGGCATCATCAAATTAGCATTTGTTTCTTAGTTACGGGCGTTTTGGTAGTGCATTACACCGAAACTCCTGCGATTTCGGAATGGCGTGTGCATCAAATTTTGCCAAAGACTCGCCAAAACGGCTACGGAAACCTATGAAATGCTAAAGCAAGCATTTGGGGAGTCCGCAATGGGTCGTGCACAAACTTTGGTGTGGCATTCACGTTTTAAAAATGGCCGAACCCCTGTCGATGATGACGAGCATTCTGGACGACCATCTTCGAGCACAACGCCCGAAAATGTTACGAAGATCGACGTCGTACCATCAACGACTTGTGCGACATTGTTGGGACCTGTCAGCTGATTCTAAAGGAAGAACTCCACATGCGACGCATCCTCTCTGAGGACCAGAAGCAGAATCGACTTCTCGTTTGTCAGGAGCTCAAAGATCTTGCAAGAACCGACCCCAACTTCCTTTCTAAGCTCCGTGTGACTTCTTCCTCTTCCCAAAGATAAAAATTCAGCTAAAGGGAAGGAGATTTGAGACGATAGAAGAGATTCAGGCAGAATCGCAGATGGTGCTTGACAGGCTGACAAAGAAAGATTTCCAGGGATGCTTCCAGGCTTGGCAGCGGAGCTGGGATCGTTGTGTTCACTCCCAGGGGAACTACTTCGAGGGTGAAGGATGAATTTAATACCTGAGATAAGTGTACGGGTTTTTATACGCGCAGTCTTGAAACTTTCCGATCGCACCTCGAATATCTCAACTTCATAGCTGAATAAATTCATGAAATTTGAACATCCAGTGAACTGTATTATATACTGAGCACAAACATTTTGTGTGTGCGTTTTATAGTGACCGACTATGGGCAACGGATTTTTCCCCCAACCTTCGAGTCCAGACTGGATACGGAAGTCCCTTCTCAGGGGTAAAGCGCAGCTGGGGTGTGAAGCTGACCACTCACCCCTATCTACTGCCAAGGTTTCCCCCCTAGCTCCTACATGGCGTATAGAAGGATAGCTTTACTTTTACTTTATATACAGCATCACAGAACACAACAAACATGCTAAACAGAGTTTCCAAGTAGAGAACATGCAACTTACCACCCTCATCCTCAGAGTCTGACATGAAAGTCTCTTGCATGGTCTCAGGAGCAACAACTCGATACTTTTCCTCAGCTCCAGGCGCCACATTGGTAGGGATGGAAGGCTCAGTCACAACCTTAAGTGTCTCTACGACACTGATATAGCCAAGTTTTTGGGCAATGGACAGCGCTGTTTGTCCTTGCTGTTTATGTAAGACAATAAAACAATATGAGCTCATGAAAAAGCACTGAAGTATTAGACGCATATTAAAAACATATCCAATGTCATATTTAATTAAATATTCAACATTCGGTAAATCAAAATTGAATGAAATTGAAACAGAAATACTGTAACAAACTATGTACATTTTTCAAAGATCTGTTACCACACATCTTTTCAGACTATTTAGTACGAGGTATTAGTATTTTCAGTAGCCTTCAATAGCATAATATCCATGCCAAATTTCATCGAAATCCAACCAGTGGTTCTCAAATTTAATCAAATTGACAGACTGACAGACATGATCAGCCCTACTATATGAATTCACTTCATAAGCATTGTGCAAAAAACACATAATAGATCTTAAAACAATAAAATTTGCACAGTACTTAATGAACTCAAGCGAAAACTTAAATTTTGCTGATATCCGTCTTCTGGGTTATTGCGCTGTGTAGTCTGGTCGATGTTAACCAAAGTTTCAACCGTCATCAGGGCGATGAGTATGAAGATTTCTGTCGTCTGGGTTGTTGCGCTGTGTAGTATGGTCAATGTTTACCAACGTTTCAGAGGTCATACTGCCTCCATCATCAGGGCGATGAGTATGAAGATTTCTGTCGTCTGGGTTGTTGCGCTGTGTAGTATGGTCAATGTTTACCAACGTTTCAGAGGTCATACTGCCTCCATCATCAGGGCGATGAGTATGAAGATTTCTGTCGTCTGGGTTGTTGCGCTGTGTAGTATGGTCAATGTTTACCAACGTTTCAGAGGTCATACTGCCTCCATCATCAGGGCGATGAGTATGAAGATTTCTGTCGTCTGGGTTGTTGCGCTGTGTAGTATGGTCAATGTTTACCAACGTTTCAGAGGTCATACTGCCTCCATCATCAGGGCGATGAGTATGAAGATTTCTGTCGTCTGGGTTGTTGCGCTGTGTAGTATGGTCAATGTTTACCAACGTTTCAGAGGTCATACTGCCTCCATCATCAGGGCGATGAGTATGAAGATTTCTGTCGTCTGGGTTGTTGCGCTGTGTAGTATGGTCAATGTTTACCAACGTTTCAGAGGTCATACTGCCTCCATCATCAGGGCGATGAGTATGAAGATTTCTGTCGTCTGGGTTGTTGCGCTGTGTAGTATGGTCAATGTTTACCAACGTTTCAGAGGTCATACTGCCTCCATCATCAGGGCGATGAGTATGAAGATTTCTGTCGTCTGGGTTGTTGCGCTGTGTAGTATGGTCAATGTTTACCAACGTTTCAGAGGTCATACTGCCTCCATCATCAGGGCGATGAGTATGAAGATTTCTGTCGTCTGGGTTGTTGCGCTGTGTAGTATGGTCAATGTTTACCAACGTTTCAGAGGTCATACTGCCTCCATCATCAGGGCGATGAGTATGAAGATTTCTGTCGTCTGGGTTGTTGCGCTGTGTAGTATGGTCAATGTTTACCAACGTTTCAGAGGTCATACTGCCTCCATCATCAGGGCGATGAGTATGAAGATTTCTGTCGTCTGGGTTGTTGCGCTGTGTAGTATGGTCAATGTTTACCAACGTTTCAGAGGTCATACTGCCTCCATCATCAGGGCGATGAGTATGAAGATTTCTGTCGTCTGGGTTGTTGCGCTGTGTAGTATGGTCAATGTTTACCAACGTTTCAGAGGTCATACTGCCTCCATCATCAGGGCGATGAGTATGAAGATTTCTGTCGTCTGGGTTGTTGCGCTGTGTAGTATGGTCAATGTTTACCAACGTTTCAGAGGTCATACTGCCTCCATCATCAGGGCGATGAGTATGAAGATTTCTGTCTTCTGGGTTATTGCGCTGTGTAGTCTGGACGATGTTAACCAACGTTTCAGAGGTCGTACTGCCTCCGTCATCAGGGCGCCCTGATGACGGAGGCAGTACGACCTCTGAAACGTTGGTTAACATCGTCCAGACTACACAGCGCAATAACCCAGAAGACGGATATCTTCATACTCACCGCTGTGAGAACCTCAAGTCTTACACTTAAATTTTGCTCATTTGGTTATTTTCAAGAACAGATTTAATTCTGTTGTGCACTCTAACTAGATACTCACATTTGTCAGTGAGTTGGGTGGAGCACCATTTTCCAGCAACAGATTTAGGATGGTGGTGTGACCCTGCTGTGCGGCTTGGTGAAGTGGTGTGTATCCAATACTGGTGCTTGCCTTTACATCTGCACCTTGTTGCAGCAGGAAACGTACCATGTTGACCTGTCCAAAATGGCTTGCGACATGCAGGGGTGTGTAGCCAGCCTGTTGGTACATACAAGGTAATATCTTTCATCTGTCACTATTCCTGCATCAGATAAGATACAGACAGCAAAACTAAGAATAACATGTTTTGTTATTAATTACTAAGAAAGCATGCAAATGTTTTGAGTTAATGTCTGGTTTCAAATTATGTGAATAACGCTATGCTAGGCCGCATGTAACATTCAGTAATATGCTGTTTTTCACAAGCTGGAAAAGGACCCTCTTCAACTGCTTGCAAGTACTTATGCAATATATTCATAGCTACGTACTACATCTGGAGGCCTTTCCTCCAAACACAACCTAAGGATGCACCATGCTGTAGTGACATGGCACCTAATTAACTTGGTAAAAACACATACCCTGTATCAATTGTAAACTCACTTTGGTAGTTGAATCAACTTCAGCTCCATTCTTGACCAAGATGGATGCCACATTAACACGGTCCTCTTGAGCACACAAATGCAGTGGAGTTAGCCCATTCTGTTAACAAATAAAATAATGTGGTATCACTCACATGCCAAACGTAGATCAATTTCACTGACCGATCATTTGGAATTACGAGGGTGAGTCAAATGAAAACCGTAA